CGCTTGCGCGCTGATAGGATCCAGGCAGCAGCAGAAACCGCTGGAATGAATTGTTCTGCAAAATCTTCGAATGCCGCTCCCCCCATCCTGCCCCCCGCCCTCGACCCTCGACGGCCTCCCCCCCCCCCCCCTGCCCCCCCCCCCCCCTCATTCCGCATACCCCCCACTCCCCCACCTTCTCCCCACCCTCCCAAGAGCTGGCTTTCCTAGAAGTGGCGACCTTGCCTGGCCGCTGCCTTGGCCACGGGCCCCGGCCGAGGCGGGTCGCGTAGCGTTTAACGTAGAACTTCAATTTAAGAGAACTCTAAAGCCTCACAGCGACTCCCAGAACTCAAACCTGAACCCCAAAGTGCAAAGCCATCTCAGTGCTGGAGGCCTCTTTCTTGGACTTTTTGTCCTTTTTGCTTTTGGTGTTCTTGCTGTCTTTCTTATCCTTCTTGTCACCTCAGCTTCGGATGCAAGGCTGGTTGATGTCGGGGCTTCTCAGTTGGGGCTTGGGGCCGCGAACGTAACTCGCTCTTAGGGACATGCCGGGCATTTCCAAGCCTCCCAAAACAAAACAGAACTAGTCTTGAAGACAGAAAGAAAAACCAGCTAGCTCACGGCTGACTGCGCAAAGTCGTCTTGCTTTATCCGACCTAAAGAGCCCAAGTGTTTCGGTCATACTGCTCCCTTCAACACAGGGGCGATGCTGAAGGCTGCGTCTGAAGCTGCAAAACATGCCGAAGGGTTTACAAGCTGCTTGGGCCATGAAAACTCGCATTGCCATGGGCATCCACAGAACACCCAGCAGGTTAAGCCTCAACCCTAAGCCCTTATGCCAAAAAGCCTGAAGCCTGTTCACTCGAAGCTCGCTTGGACTGTTCGGTCTCGATTGATGGGCAACCCGAAAGCCGCGATTGCTGTGAAACTACGCTGCGCAGCAGCACAACACACTCCCAAAACCCTACCCTAAACCCGAAACCCTAAACCCTAAACAATTCGGGGCTTCACAAGTTGGCTGCGTTCAAGGTGGCCTTTTTTCGCCTCTTTTGCAGACTTCTTGTTCTTTGCTTTCGCCTCGAGCAACTTGGAGCTGCTTAGAGTTTAGGGTTTAGGGTTTAGGGTTTAGGGTTTAGGGTTTAGGGTTTAGGGTTTAGGGTTTAGGGTTTAGGGTTTAGGGTTTAGGGTTTAGGGTTTAGGGTTTAGGGTTTAGGGTTTAGGGTTTAGGGTTTAGGGATCGGGACGGCATCTTCTCTGAAGTTGGCCATAGGAAGTACACTCGTTCAAGCCCCATCGACATTGCTTGTTTGTGTTGAAGCGCGCGAAGCGCAAAAAGGCGCCTAAACCCTAAACCTGAAACTTAAACCCTAAATCCAGGTTCTCCTAGCCCTGCAATTTCTCAAAATGGCTCAAACTCTCCATGGGCGCTTCATTCATAAACTCTCCACACCCGCTTGAAACAGATATTTCCTCAAGCTCTGCTTCCTCGCCCCCCACACTTCCACTGCAAGACCCGAGAAGGATATTGTCTCAAGCAAGGCTGGGTATCAAGAAGCAGGCAAAGAAAAGGACAATTCGGGTTCGAGCTTAGGGTTAGAGAGCTTGCACCCACCAGCCGAACCTTAGAGCTATCCTACTCCCAGCTGCTGGGCCCTCCCGTCCCGTATATTGCACGGCAGAAGCCTCCGACTCATCCGAGTCGGAATCCGATGACTCCTGATTCGGTGCTTAAGGTGAGGTTGCGGAGTATGCCGTGTGTTCAGCACGTTTGGGCCGTAGCATGTGAGCGTGCTGAGTGTTAGATGCATGTCGAGAACACTGCGCTCCGACACTCCAATCCCCGATCCCCGTTCTTGGCTGCCTCCGAGACTTGAGGTTTATTGGGTCCTGGACTAAGGAGTTGTGGCCATGGTCTCTTTTGGGTATTCAGCATCTACAACAGACAGACAGACAGACAGACAGACAAACGAACAGACGGGCAAGCGTTAACATCAAATTTGAGCGTGTAGGGTCAGCATGCCCTGGAGGTCTATGTCTCAAAGCAGGGCCCTCAACCTGAAGACCACAATCAACTCCACAGTCCCAGCCACTAGACCAAACACCCGAATTGTAACACATCCTCGGCATCGTCGTTGTCGTCGTCATCGTCATCGTCATCCTCCTCGCTCCCATCCTCAACAGCTCCAGTCGCCCAAAGTTTAGGATTTAGGACTCAGCAGTCGGGGTGTACATATTGTGTTCTTAGAAAAACGTTTCTCATTTTTGCTGGATCATTCACGATACCTCAGCAATCCAAGAATGTAGTCGTTGTGGGCTGACAGTATACTGCGGGAAAGGAAGGCGAATGCAGGGCAACGAGGAAGATAGCGGATCAGGGGTGTAGACCAAGAGTCAGGAGAAGAGACTAAAGACGATTCCAGTGTGCCAAGACTTGTTGGAACATCTCGTTCTACTTGCCGAGACGTGCGTTCTTCTACATCACAGAGCCCAAGACGGCTCCAGCAGCAACGGTTGCATGCGCGAGTAACAAGCTGCGCATATACCGATAGCACAGCTGTGAACCCGAATGAAATTTCGAAAGTAACAGGCACTGCTGAGGGGAAACCTCTTCAGAACTTGAGGCTGCAGGCCCAGGAATTCGGCAAAACAGTAACCTGAGGAAGGGCACCTCTCTGCAGAAGATCTCAGACAAACCAAACTTCAACAGTTCAGTCCGAGGCCGACTGCACACGCTTGCTAAGGCTCCACATTGCCGTACTGGTAGAAGTCTTCGATCAAGCGCTTGCAAGAAGAAAGTTGGGCATTCGCCACCCTACACCCTAAACCCTAAACCCTAGACCCTAAACCCTAAACCCCAAACCCTAAACCCCCCCAAAAAAATTGCAGATTGTCTGTGCAAGCTTCGACATCCCTGTCGGAGTCGTCGGAGTCGTCCGAGTCTGCTTTCTTGGCCGGAGCCTGACATTCTTCGGCTTGCAAGACATTTTTATTATTAGTATGATTATTTCTATTATTACTATTACTATATTGCTAGTATTATTACTATAATTATGCTTATTTTTCTTACTTTTATTTTTCTTACCATTATTATTATTACTATTCTTATTACGATTAGTATTATTACTACTAATATTTATTCTTTGTTTTTTTATACTTGTGCACCTTTGACACAAGGTCGTGCTGACAGGTCCCAAAGGTCCATGCGCAAGCCTCAAAAACTCACAAACCTTTGAGCAGAGAGCTCGGCTGGCAGTTCGAGTCAGGTTGCACGTTTTGGGGGTTCTGGGCTGAAGATTGCATTCGGACGAGGCCACAGGGTGTAGAATGTGGGGCCATGCATCCGGCGCACCACTGGGGCCCACCCCCTGACATAAGATTCTATGAGAGATTGTCTATATGACGAGGCCTCAACACATGCCACGTGGATGAGCATCAGCCAGTTGAAGGCGAAGCCTTCAATCCTGCTGCCTTAAGTTCCACAACATACCTGAGCAACAACCCGCGCTCCGCCTTGGAGCTCTTGGCGGCCTTTGATGACTTGCTCTTGTTCTTGTCCTCCTCCTCATCATCGTCATCGTCCTGGTACCAAGAACGAGAGGAGAAGACGAGTGGTCAGAGCCGGCTGCATTTCTCCTGTGGTGGGTGGTCTGTACGGGGAATAGGGGTGTGGGGGGGGGGGGGGAGTGTTTTGGGCGGGGGGGTGGGGCAGAGGGGGCGGGTTGGGACAGAGGCGCGAGGTTGAGGGAGGCGGAGGGGAGTGCGGTGACTGGACCACAGGGAGGGAGCCCGCCGCATCATCCCGACCTAGGGAAGAACGCCGCAGCTGGAAAAAGAAGATGCATGAAGTATGTCGCCACACCTCCGTCACTTCATGGATCCTAACGCCCAATACCCCAGCGCGCTAAACACCGATGCTTTTCTGCTCTCTTTCCTTTCGACATCCTTCAGCCCCTGAGATCTAAACAAATCACAAACGGTGTTTTCCGAAAATAAGGGACTCCTAATATAAGACCCCCAAATAGCAGGATCCCCTTATAATGAGGACCCCAATCAACCCCCAAATTACTCTCGGGGAATAGGAACACCTCAACAGAACGGTGGTGGCCTTGCCTGCTCCTTTTCGGTGGGGCTCTCTTCGTCTCCACCGTCCTGTGCGCCGTGCACCCGTGTAGACCCAATGTAGACCTCAACAGGACCTCATGACCTTGAGTTCATGTCCTGTTGCTTGGGGGGAGGCCGCCCATCCCAATCCTTTGAAAGGGCTCCGCACCCAAACGACACGATGTGAAACATACCCACCCTTACATGCTACATGAGTCATTCTTCAATCAAGCATGCCCACAACCGCCAGCAGTACCATGATTGCTGTCCTTGCTGCAGCAAGGCGAGCGAGTGCTACCTAAATGAATCCCCTACTAGATGCTTCTCTTTCTTACAGTTTCAGGATGTTTCTTCTATGTTTCTTCGCTGTTTCTTTTCTGGGGAGGGAGGAGTGGAGGGGCGCAAGCACCAAAAGAAAACCTGTCTGAGCAATCCGAAAACCAGCTCTCTAAACCCTAAACCCTCAACCCTAAACCCCAAACCCTAAACCCGAAACCCTAAACTCTCCACCTTGTCTTCCTCATCTGCTTTGGCATCCTCCGCTTCCTTCTCCTCTTCCTCCTGTCATGTGGGGGTTTACGATGTTAGCGGTACCTTCTCGGGGTCCTTGTTCTAAGGACTCTAAGGGAATCCTACTATGTGGGGACTTATATTAGGGGTCCCTTATTCTCGTAAGCCCTCATGTCTGGATGATTGAGGTTGGGGATTCAGGCTTTCGGGCTGGATGGCAAACGCTTCCGGAAAGCATCTTCTTTGCCAAAGCTCCACCCCAACCTCCTGCCCAGGCACTGAGATGAATGTCAAGCGGATGTTTGCCAAGTCGGCTCTTGAAAGTGGATACTTGAAGCAGTTCTACAAGTAAAGAAGAACAAGGCAAAAACAACTGAATTTGGGATCGAAAGACGGAGGAGATTGCATCAGGCAAGCCCGAGGTGGTCCTCTTCCTCCTCTTCACTGTCTTCCTCCACCTTCACAGTTTTTCCATCGTAACGCCGTACGAGCTCGCGGCTCCCCCAACCCAAACCCGAACCCTTATACCCAACTTGCAACTACAGCGACTGCAGTTTGGGGTGTCAGGACCAAAAGGCTTCTGCTCACCGAGCAGAGATGCGGCATCTAAGTGGTTATGAGGTTTGCGGCTTAGATGGTCAGGGTCTGAGGCTCTGCTTCTTGACAGCCCAATCCGAAGCACCATTCGAAGCCTCGAGGCGGCATGCTACATCACTTCGCAAAACGTGCCGTGCCTTGTCTGTCTCTCCACTGGAGCCATCATCATCGTCCTCGGCAGTTTAGCTGAGGAATTAAAAAATGTTTTTGCACAGGCGCTGGAAAAGGGACACTTGGTGGTACAACCAGCTGGCAGGCAGATCTGGGATGTTATGATATGGCCCATGATCTCACTGCGCATCCCTGGCCGCGACCATGAAACCCGACCTTGGAGACTCAACGTGGATCCCAAACCCCTTTTAACAAAAGGTCCATGGTTTTGCAACCCGAGGAGGACACGAAACCCTATAGCTTCAGCACCAAACCCTGTCCTTCTTCTCGTCAGAAACGGCCGATGCTGGGGTGAGGATCGCCTTTTTCGGCTTTTCCTGCACGCGAGAGCGTTGGAAAATCCTTTCTTGGGCTGGGGGGGACCAGACTGGGCGGATCGCGACTAAGATGTGATCTGCTGGTCACAAAACAGCATAGCTTAGGGAACTAGATGGGTTGCTTGAGGTTTTGGCCTTTCGATTTATCAGAACACAGGGGTGTGGCTGATATTCGATCTTAACTTTAGATGAAAATCGCTTTAATCCAGCGGAGTTACTTGTTTGCAGTGACCCGCAGCTTAAGAACGATTTCAACCCTTCCAAAAGTGATCATATGCATCGGGCGGCTTGGAATTCATTGTGGCCCGTACAGGCAGTCGGCTCAGGTTGAAAACCGATTTTATGCCGGCAGCGACCTGCTTAAAGATTCTAAGCCGGGGTTGCAAGTCGATTTAAAGCCATTTCGTTGGCCCCCCATCTGTCACACTTGACCAAGCAATCCCTGTTATCACTTCCCAGCATCCCGAGGGTCCAAGCCCAGGGCGTAGTCTCCGGTTTCATCCGGTTTCCGAGCTTCAATGGATTCAATGGTCTCTCTCTGGGTACTTTTGCGGCGCTCTATATTGCGGGTTCGGAACCCCCATGAACACCCCATGAGCCCCACCTTTTTGTCGCTGTCTTCAGCGTCATCCTTGGACTTTTTCTCCTGGAAGCAGTCGTGGGGCAGGGAATCTGAAGCCTTCCATGTTTTGGCTCCTGTGCCTTTTGAAGCTTTGAGGATGTTGGGGGCAGAGCTCCCGGGAGGCCAAGTTGAATCTGCAGCTGTGTAATGTAGATGCACGTAGATACGCCCCTCTGTAGCCATTGCACACGGAACTGCGAAGCCTAGCTAGGTGTCCTTTTTCTCGGGCTTTGCCTCGTCTTTGGCCTTCTCTTCCACGTCCTCCTTTTTCCTGGAAGCAACGCAGCAAAATCTGCAGAGCGAACAGAAGCCATGCTGGCAAGAGCCTGCAATTTGACTGAATTGCCTCAAACTCTATGAACCCAAGGACTGCACCCGTCTGCAATTGCTCAATTGCCGTCCAGTATTCTCCAATTAAAGTAAAGGGTGCAGACCCACTTTTGGGGTTGGAAAACACCATGTTTAAGGAGGATGCAATCAATGTTCTGAACACCCAGCCTAAGTTTGCAGATCCTGTTAAAAGGCGGAAATTCACAGACCACATAGACCACATAGACAGAAGGGTGCGGAGTTAGGCAAAGTTTGGCCAATCAGTGCGGCGACATCCTACAAACTACATATCGATGAGTTTAACGACTGCGTTGCATCGACTCAACACACCGCAAAGTCGTACCAAGCATATAGGGGCCTCAATAATGAGAATAGGGTTTTGGGGGTGATTACAGTATAACTAAAAAGGGGACACAAGGGAATACTACTAGTATTTAATCCGACCCCCATATTACGGGAAGTCGTTGGTACTCCAGCTGGATTGAGATAGCTGAGTTTCCGTTCTACATGAGCTGCAGCCCCATTCTCCCACAAACCTCAACCCTAAACCCTGATTACTTTGCGGCCATACTGGTAGCATGTAAAGCTTCCAGTGCTTTGAAACTGGGACATTCGCAGCCCTAGGACACTGGTGTCGTTGTTGCTTTGGCTCAAGAGGTGCCTCTTCTTCTCCTCAACCGGAACCTGGCCAGGGAGATGGAAGGAGCCCAGGGAATCCCTTAGTAATTAAAAAGCCCAAAAACACCTCAGAGTCCCAAACGGGAAGCCCTGATTTAAATCTGTTTCCTTGGCTTGAAACCCTAGAACCGAAGAAAAGCTGAGTCGTTGACTTTCAGTTTCGCAGTTTCTTGAGGTCAGGCCAGAAGATGGATAGACAGCTTCCACAAGCAGAGCAAGATCTACCCATATAGTCGAAACCTGAGCTGTAGGGTCTGAGGGCTTAGGCGTTCCTGTGGCGCACCCGCAGGGTCTGGTGAGGTTCGGGGCTTCAGGCATTTGCCGCGATTACTTTCGCCCCCCCCAAGCATGCTCCATGAGTCCTCCTCGGAGGGTCTGGATGAGTGTCATGTGGACTCACTTTTGGATTGATAGGAGGCTCGAAGCTGGCTACTACTGCTTGCGATGTGGCTTCCAATAACTGGAAGACTTTCCAAGCAAGCCGTGTCGTACGCCGTATGGCCTGTGCGTTCCATACTTGTCTGTGTGGTCCACGTTACAACGTCATCAATGACGAGCGTCTTCCAATCCTGCCCCCAAACGTTCTAAAACTCACAGGGGGGTTTACGAAAATAAGGGAACATGTAGACCCACAAATAGTAGGCCCCTTATAATCAAGACCTCAATAAGGTACCCCCCTTATAATAAAGACCTCAAGGTACCCCCAAGATTCGGAAACTTTAATGTTTACTTCAACCCTGCAGAACCGCAGCCTCCGCCGGCTTGGGAAGATGCTGCGCTTCGAAGCTGCTGAGGGCCTGCTGAAGGACTTCAAATGTTGAGATGCTTATGGCTGAAGGGTGAGAATAGAAGCCACTTTGAATTCGGGTTTTCAACGCCTTTAAAAGCTTAGAGGGTGTTCAGTTTCGGAAACTTAGGTGAGATTAGTGCATGACGAACCTACGAGGAGCAAATCTGGACAAAAGCCAAACCTGAAAACTATGCCCCCCCCCCCCCCCAATTAAGGTAGAAGGAGGGTCCAGGTTTCAGGAGCTGGAATCATGCCTTTCCCCAAGCAGTGTGTCAACCCTCAAGGGGTTTCAAGGGGTGCAGCAAGAGGGGCGCGGTGCGCCCGCTGCGGACCATGGGGATGTTTTCGCTCGCACGTTGTTGATAAGAATGGCGCTCTCGCCCAGGCATGGCCGTGGACTTCTGGTGAGGACTCCCTAAGCACCGTTTTGTTTCTTGAAACTGGGAGGGATTAGCACGCTTCGGAGGTCAAGTCGCCTTTTAAGGCCTTCCGGAATCACGAGATGCGGGCAAGTGTCGCTTTGGGACGTCAGGGCTCGCTTGAAGTGCGAGAATTACATTTAAAAAAAGGCTCTTCTCAAGTGCTTCGAATGGGGTCATCTTGGAGTGCGGGTCTTATACTGAGGTGCCGGCATTTGTTTGGGGGGCAAAGGCTACCTCGGGGTTTCCTTGGGTAAAGAAAAAATGGGCTTACCTCCTCTACATGCGTGGCCGGGAGGGTACATCTGCTCACTCGGGACATTGAGACGAAGCTGGGTCTCAGCATGGCTCAGCCTAATTAATCCTCGTTGCTGCGAAACCGAGCTCCCGAAAGCCTGGACTCTGGAACTCGGGATTTGCCGGCTTAGGGTTTAGGGTTTAGGGTTTAGGGTTTAGGGTTTAGGGTTTAGGGTTTAGGGTTTAGGGTTTAGGGTTTAGGGTTTAGGGTTTAGGGTTTAGGGTTTAGGGTTTAGGGTTTAGGGTTTAGGGTTTAGGGTTTAGGGTTTAGGGTTTAGGGTTTAGGGTTTAGGGTTTAGGGTTTAGGGTTTAGGGTTTAGGGTTTAGGGTTTAGGGTTTAGGGTTTAGGGTTACAGAATTTCCAAATGCTCCAAAAAAGCACCCCGAGGAGGACCTCCGCGGCCGACGCTGCAGATGCCTTGGCCTGCAGCGGATCACATTTTCTCACGGTGAAGTCGTCTTTCTTGTCACGACGAGCCTTGCCCCTTCTGTTGGCACTTAAACCCAAAGGTTTTCAAGACTCGTTCTCCGACAGCTGCGAGGTAAGCCTTAAACCTTCGAAAGCCTGGAGTACAAGCGCTGACGCCCTAAACTCTTACCCCAACCCTAAAACCCTCAACCCTAAAACCCTAACCCTAAAACCCTACACCCCTAAACCCCGAAACCCGCACGGAACCCCAAAGAAGAGAATTAGCACCTTCTCGGCTGCCGCTATCTTGTTCCGATGGTCCGACGCGGCTTCCTGGTAGAAAGACTCCTTCACCTCACATGGCTCAACAGAGGGGCTTTTAACCATATTAGAGTAGTGTTTTGGAGGGGGGCGGTTATCGTAGAACGATATAGGGACCATAAGGGAACTACAGTCCGTCATTATACCGACCCCTATGCTACATGTTCATGTCTTCGTGGTCGTAGACTTTATACTCGGGGCTCGGGCACCTTCAGGATTGAGAGACAGAGCGGGACTTTGGTCCCAGAAACCACACATCCAAACAAATCCCTCGAACCTAAGCTGGGGTTTTGGGTGTAGGGTTTAGCTTTTAGGTTCTCGGCTTTAGGGTTTCGGGTCTCGGGTTTAGGGGGCTTAGACTTCAGGGCTTAGGGCTTCGGGCTTAGGGCTTAGGGCTTAGGGCTTAGGGCTTTGGGCTTTGGGTTTAGGGGTTCAAAGTCAAGCTCTCCTCAGCTCCCGGCCTCCGCATCGTCCCGGGCCTTTTTGGCCTCTTCTCTTGCGTCGGCGGCCTTTTCTCCGGAAAGGCTGAGAGCTCAGTGGTGTTCAACTAGGGTTCAACATTGTTCAACTAGGGCTCAGGGGGCTTCAGGGTTGTAGGAGTGTAATGGGTTGTAGGAGTGTAATGAAAGGAGGGACTGTCCTCCTAACCTGAAAAGCATCAGCAATCCAGATCACGAAAGAGCACCTAACGCGGAGCTTTCCCATGCTAGTCCTGCACGAGACTCTTGTCGTGAACTTCTCCTTCTCCTCTAGTCATTTGTTGCTTACTGCTTCTGCCTCTGCTTTTTCTTCCTCTTCATCTTGATTTCGTTTCACCGAGTCAGAGAAGGCCAAACCTACAACATCTACAGTGCTTTGTAGCCGGCTTCCCTGCAAAACCGTGGACCTTGGGGCAGAAACCAACAAAAGACTCGGCAACTGTTTTCTGGTGTCCAGCCTCCTTCGCGGCTTTCTTGGCTTCCTCCTCCTTTGCCTCAGAGTTAGAGCTTTCTTTGTGTTTGGGCTCTGCAGGTAGAGAACTTGGGTGTGGTGCAGAAATACTCGGCTTCAGGACTTCGGGATTGAAGGATGCTTCCTGTTCCTGTGAGCTTGCTTCAAACGCCTTGAGAGGGGCATCTAGGCTTTGGGGTCCGTGGGTTCTTGTGTCATCCTGCACCTGGAGTTGCCTGAAATCGGGTCAGGGTTGAGCCCCGTTTAGGGCTTGGAGTGGTCACAAGGCTCTTCAGAAACCGAAAGCACGACTCGGGTTGCCTTCGCCCTGTCCTCCAGCTCCTTCGCCTGGCAGGAAAGACCAGAGGAAGGGGCGGAAGTGGGGAGGAAACACACACACACACACACACTCACTCACTCGCTCACTCACTCACTCACTCGCTCACTCACTCTCACTCTCACTCTCACTCTCACTCTCACTCTCACTCTCACTCTCACTCTCACTCTCACTCTCACTCTCACTCTCACTCTCACTCTCTCACTCTCACTCTCACTCTCCACTCTCACTCTCACTCTCACCTCACTCTCACTCTCACTCTCACTCTCACTCTCACTCTCACTCTCACTCTCACTCTCACTCTCACTCTCACTCTCACTCTCACTCTCACTCACTCTCACTCACTCTCACTCACTCACTCACACTGACGGCACACTGAGGGCATCTCTCGTCGAGGCGGTTCGCACGGCCCACAGAGAGTGGTTCACACACCCAGAACGTCTTGTTTGCCATCCTTTTCCTTTAAATTTCGATTTACTGCAAACTTGCCATTCTTCGGGGTCTGTGCAGATTCTGGCTTCGGAGATTGAGTCATTAGATTGCCAAGACAAGAATGTTAATTAGTTAGGATAAGGGGGCTTCTCATCGAAAGCCCCAACCGAAAAGCCTCGTGTGGCCCCATCCCCAAAAAACACCAAGCTTAAATGCACAAGCTTCACCACCCCTGGAACTGAAAGCCCGGAAGCTCACAAGGTCCAAAGGTCTGAAAGTGAGGGGTCGAAAATCGGCTGAAGCTCGGAGCTTCTGAGCTTCAAGACCACCCCATTTAAGCCAGAAAAGCCTGACACACCTCCCACAAAACCTCCCCAAAACTGCACAACAAAAGTCTCTGTGGGTAGCCTTGCCAGCCTTGGAAGCAGAGTGCTTCTCCGCCTAGGAAGCAAGGGGCTCAGGACTGTCCGGACTCAGAACATCGCACCCCCAAAACTACAAACCTCTTCGGGGGCCGAGTGAGAACTGAGAACCACACAAGACCACACGAATCTGCGTTGGACATCTACTTCTTCTTGAACCTAAGGAGTACTGTAAACGGCTCTCAACTTTGGATTGCCCCACGTTGCTGGCTGCACTTTACCTGCCGATCCAGCCCTCACTTTCCAGACCAACCCCGGAACTGAACCAACATGGGTGTGGGCTTGAGGGTTATGCAAGCGCTTCTATACATTTGGCCATTTCCCAAAATAGGGGTACCCCTAATAGACCCCCAAATACTACAATCCTTCTTACAGGAACCCCCAAAAAGGGTAGCCCCATTTTCAAACCCCAACCCTACCTAAACCCTAAACCCTAAACCCTAAGCCCTAAACCCTAAACCCTAAATTGTTGGAGAGCAGGAGTTGGCCCCGGGCCTTGTCGGCTTCGGCTTTTTTGGCCTTGGCGACGCCAGCAGCTTCCTCCACAAAGCAGAGCACAATGTCAAGATGCGTCATATAACCCTTCGAACACAGGAAAAGAAGACCCCGAGGTTTCGCCAAGCTTTCGGAGACCATGTGGGTTCACGTGCTGTGGTGTTGAGGGTTGCCTGAGTAGTGGTGGGCTGGGGCGGCGGCTGCTGCTGCTGCTGGTGATATGAACAACCATGTCGCACATGTGCAGTATGCAAGTCTCAAAACCCGATTGCACACACAATGTGACATAACGACACTCCACAGCAGTGGCAACAAAAGCCATAGAAGGCCAATAGATAGAACTGGAATCCTTGCGCCAACGAGTCCACTTTGCTCAAGCCTCCGCTTCGGCGGCGGCTGCCGTTGCGGCGCTCGCCGCGCTCGCTGCGGCCTCGTTGAGCTTTCAAGCGCCTTGCTTTGCCTCTGTTGCCCTTGTTGCTTGATTTGTTTTCCAAATGTTTGGCTTTGCTTTTGATCTGTGCCGGATCTAGGACAGCTTCATCGGGGTTTCGAAACTCAACACGGCAACACCCCAAGCCTCCCGTAGAAAATGAGAAAAAAGAGGGGTTGCTTGCAGGAAACCAGAATCATCAAGAGCTAGTCTGAAGGACTAACATGATTGCTTGCTCCCACCCTTGGTGCACTTCGACGTGTGCATGCGCGACGCTTGTATTCTGTTCCTACGCATCCCCTGTTCCAGCTCCCATGTGTCTTGCGCAGAGAAGCCTGCAGCTTGTCACTCATATGCTCAGACATGCAGTTGCATCAGCGTCTTGGTATGCGAAGGGCACATGTCGAGTAAAGTCGGCTCCATTGAACCTTCACAAAGCAACCCTCCGCCATACCCTGAAGCCCCAGGCTGCTCCCCGCCCCCACCCGATAAAAATCCCCCAACTTTATGCCTCGCCTTTGTAAGGCTTTCCCGCTGCTTTTGCCTCGCAGGGATGGATTGACGCATTTTGCCAGGGGCAGAGTCCTTTGGACAGTTCGGGGCATGCCGTGCCTCAGAAAACTGGATTCCTGGATCTTTGAGACCACTCCGCAGAACAGAGAAGAGAAGCCTGAACTCCTGCATGAATCCCACTAACCTCTCGCGTCCCCAACAGCCGAGGCGAATGTTACACAAACCCCGGCACCCGGAGAACCCCTAAAGCCTAAACCCTAAACCCTGAACCCTAAACCCTAAACCTCATCCCTAAACCCTAAACCTAAACCCTTAACCTTTAACCCTAAACCCTTAACCTTTAACCCTAAACCCTAAATGTAAGCATCCCCGGCCTGGCAGCCGCCTCTGCCTTTTCCGCCGCGAGCTTCGCGGCGGCCGCCTGGGCCTCCTCGGCGGCCTTCCAAAAGAGAGAGGGGCTTTGGGTCTCTACATCATCATGAACTCTAAACCCTAAACCCTAAACCCTAAACCCTAAACCCTCATCATTATAGCCCTACGGTTCGGGAGTCTGCGGTTTGTCACTTTGTGTTCTACGGTTCGGGATTTCTAGCTTCCGGCATTTCTGGCGAAGGAGCAGAGTGGCTTTACGGCCGATTCGGGCAAAGCTGGTGAGCTTTCGGAACATGAAGTCCAAGTTCCTGAAACCCTAAACCCTAAACCCCAAAACACGCAAGCCACGCGCCTTCGCGGCCTTTTTGCGAGCCTCCTCCTCCAGCTTCTTGCTGGGGTCCTGCCAAGTCGTGATGGCTCTCATCTGGTTTTGGGGTCAATGAGGGTTTAGGGTTTAGGGTTTAGGGTTTAGGGTTTAGGGTTTAGGGTTCTGGGGGCTAGCGGAATCAGACAACTGATTGCTCTGCAGGATCTGCTGGTTGATGCTTGAAGGCTTCAGTTCGGGCCTCCGGCTTCACTTCCTCCACGTCATCTGACTTGGACTCATCATCCTGCAGGGACAGAGTCATGGACTCATGCAGATCCAGCGCCTGTCTTTGGTGGATCTGAAGCTTCCCGAATGTTTCCCATGCACATGGTGCCTCTGCAGCACTATGCAACCCAAGAAAAGCACGATTAAGGGGCTAGTTCAGCACCAAGCACGCCTGGGTCAGGGTTTCCCTGATATGCTCGGATATTTTCTCGTTTGCGAGCTTGAGAGGCAGGGCCGCGGCTCCTTCTCTGCCTTCTCTTTGGCTTTCTCCTTCTCCTTGCTCTCATCGTCATCGTCAGAGTCGTTATCACTGCTGTCAGCCTTCTTCTTTTTCTTATCCTGCACAAGACAATGCGGGTTCAACGGTGCTCCTGTGAACCTCGCAGGTGCCATCGCTACACTTATCTGCTGCGCAGCGTCGCTCTTCGCAAGCCTTCGAACTTCGAATGTGTGGAAAACACTGGCCAATTGCAGTCCGAAGTGGCGTAATGATTGTAATGACACGAATACGATGCACAACCGACCTGAACACGAGAGCCTACCGCACCACGTTTGTCTCTGATGCGGAGTTGGAGACCAATTAAGGAGGACGTCAGCGAGAATGGAGTCAGATTCGAGGAAAAGGCACAGGATCTGAACCCATTCACTCGAAAAATGCTGGGAGGGGCACTCAGCTGCAATTGTGCATTGCTGCTTCGTGACAGCTGTTAGCCATATAAAACTCGAAACGAAGAAGCACAGAGAACGAGAAGCATCCCTTAAAAGAAGCCGACACTCGTGGAGGCAAGGCTTTTGACCTGTTTGGCCCCGGCCGGCCTCTTCGGAGCTATCGCCTGGCGACAGACAGAACGAGACCTTGTGCTTGTACGTGATACCAGTACCTAAACCCTAAACCCTAAACCCTAAACCCTAAAGGCATTTGTTTGTGTTGCCTTGAGTCGCTCTTCATACAACAACTAACGTACCTAACAACTTCACTGTTGAGTCGGGAGGCTGCATCTCCCCGGCGTGAGGGGCTCACTTCGACCGCTCAATGTTTCAAGGGATTGTGGTACTCCTCGGGTTCCAACCCGAAGTTCAACGTTTTCATGGCATCCATGGTTTGCAAGAGTCCCACGAGTGAACCCATGCACAAGCCCCCGTTTCCGCCACTGAAACGCAGCAACCGACAGCTGTACCATGATACAAAGGGGGCCGTGACCAGTCAAAGAAAGAATTTTCGACCTTGGCCTCCATACGCTCAAATCCAACAAGATGCTTCTGCAGGTCTTGGGGCTTTGGGGGCACAGACGGACTCCGCTTGAGGAGACTGCTGCCCAATCTATATGACCATCCGGGCCTGTAGGCCGCGCTGTAGGAGTTTGAAGGTTGGGGTTTCTGAGGATATTTCTATTACTATCATTGCTACTATTATTATCAATTATTATCATTAATATTATTATTATTATTATTATTATTATTAATTCTGACTCCTAATATTTTCAAGGCCTTAAAAGCTGGCGACGCAGGACTCTGTGGCTTGGAGCGTTTGTGAAAGGGTGCCGAACTCCATCATCGACGACCGAAGGACCCATCAATTTTGGAGTTTAGAGTCTACGATCTACAGACCACGAACCTGTGACCGAGAATGCGCTGTCGCCGGGCCACTTACCAACCCTAAACCCAAACCCTAAACCCCAAACCCTAAGCATCCCTAAACCCTGGACCCAAGCGAGACAGGTCGACTGTCATCACTGCTGGATTTTGACCTCGTGACGAGCAACGTCGAGGTTCTTGAATTTATGGTGAACCTACATGTGAACCCAAGTTCAATGAGGCAACGGGACTCCCAGAACAGTTCAAAGCCTCAATCCTACATGCCCAAGCGCGGATCGAGAACTTACTGTTTCGGGCTGTGCACCCCTTGCCGACACTGCAATGCCCTTGCCGCAAGGAGACGCGTGACACGGCAGCTTTAAATCAGAGTTCAATCCTCTCAGGCTTGGCCAGCAGGCAATACAGCACTGAAAGGGTATCCTTAAGCCACAACTCCTGGGGCCGTCACTTTTTCTTTTTCTTTTTGTCCTTCTCCTTTTCCTGGGCAGTCATCTAACACGAAACCTAGAGAAGCAAGAGGCTGCGTCGTGATGCCCTCAATGGCTTCAGAGACTCTTGGAGTTGGGATCTTGGCAGTTTAGGGTTTAGGGTTTAGGGTTTAGGGTTTAGGGTTTAGGGTTTAGGGTTTAGGGTTTAGGGTTTAGGGTTTAGGGTTTAGGGTTTAGGGTTTAGATTAGAGGTTAAAGTTTACGGTTCAAAGCGCCCGCAGCCCGGACTTTCCAAATCGCCGAGTCCGACTTTCATCATCCACTAGGGTTTCCTTTCCTTCCTGACTTGCTAGAGTCCATAGGACGCGCTGCGTAATTCCTGTTGCATGCAAATCTCAGTGCTTAGGTACTAAAGCAAAGACCAGTCCAAGTCCCAGGCCTTTTCCTTCTCCTTATGCGATCTCGAGATGCGCTCAGAACTACACTCTGGTTCTAGTGCAAGTGAACCCAAAGCATAGTGCAGAGGACCACTTCAAAGCACTGAAGCCCCAACACCCGGACACTCATTCAAGCTGCCTTGTCCTTTTTCTTCCGGCTGCCACTGCTATCTCGTCTTCGCTTTCGGCTGCGACCTCCAGCCGACCGTGATGATGCTTAGAGGAACTCATATGGAATTTGACAGACTTGCTTGGGGGCAGTCCGCGGGGCATGCATGATCAGTGTAGCTGAAGAGGTCACAAGGATGTAGGGAATCTTTACAGCTCAGGGGGTAAGGGCCCGTTAGAGCTAAGGCTTGGGTTCGGAGCGCTCTTCTTGTCAAGCTAAGTCATCGGCTTCGGCTGCTGCTACGGCTTTTCTTCTTCTTTCGGTCCTGCCGCCGGAGTGCTGGGCTTAGGGTGAACGTCGGAACATCAGAAGAACGATCAAGGGTCTAATTCCTGGGAACACCCTAAACCCTAAACCCTAAACCCTAAAACCCTAAACCCTAAACCCTAAGGCATAAGGGAAGCCTCCTTGTTTGCATTGGCATTCTTGTTTCTACGATGAGTGACGGAAGGAGATGCCGAGCGTCTCTTTGCAAAGACTTTGCAAGACTTTGGCTTGGGAACTTCGACCCACTGGTCCTTCCCATGCCCACCAACCCTGTAAGTCCTCAAACCCAGCACTAAACTGAACTTAGTTGTCCAGTAACCGCTCAGTAAACCTGGGGGAATTCAAGGTAAACCTTTGGGATTCTAAGGGGATTATATTACCCCGAAAAGGTTAAAGGTTGCCTACTCTACTACTAGGTTGACCTTGCACTCATGCCACTTCTTGCCCAAGATGCCTGGATGGGTGACGGATCTCACAAATTTGGTTGTGCGATGCTGCTCGTATGTCTCCCTTGTACTCCTGAAAACCCTTAACCCTACACCCTACACCCTAAACCCTAGACCCCAAACCCTAAACCCTAAACCCTAAACCCTAAACAAAAACCCGAAACCCTAAACCTGAAGTAAGCTCGTGCACTTCGGAGCCGGAAGAACCGTAAACCTGAAATCCGGTTCGCACCGAAGTAAGCCTCTGCAAAGACCTGATGGTAACAACTTGCCCCCTAACCCCTAAACCCTAAACCCTAAACCCTAAACCCTGCACCCTGAACCCTAAACCCTAAACCAGTTCTCCTTGTCCTTTCGGTTCCGGCTCTTGCTGCGACTCCTACTGCCGCTTCGACCTCAACAGCCAACCCTTGTGCGGGTTGAGGTCAGGTTTTTAATCTTCTTGCGGGTTTCTACAAACGGGTTTAGAGTTCGGGCTGGAACTGAACTGTGGTCGAAGAGCCAAAATGGGGGATACGACCCTGCGCGCCAAATAAGCCACAAATCCCTCAAAAGTTGGCCCCCAAGCGTGCAAGATAAGCCAATCAAAAGACAACCTCCAGAACGCCCACAGAGCGACAAGGGAAACTTGGGTCCCCTTGCTCCGCCGCCGCCGCCGGCTGCGGCTGCGCTTGCGGCGCCCACGGCCTTGGGCCGATCGACAGCTTAGGCTGAGGCTTTGGATTTGTTGCGGCTCAGGGTTAAGGGTTGCTTTCAGCAGCTAAGAAGAATTAAGAAACGAAGGCTTAGGGACTCCATGCACGACGGCTGCTGCGTCCAAGAGGCTACAATGAAATTTGTGTTGACTAAATCAACGCGCATGCATTCAGTGGACAAGGGCCCTCCTTTTGGCAGAGTGTTACCCGATGGGCGGCGTGTCTGCTCGTGACCGTTGCGGTGTGTTTCCAAGTCGTTATGTGTGTGGTTGCATGAGTAAAGTGCGTCTTTTGGCCAGCAAAGAGACTTCGAGAGCGGGTCGCTTCTGATGGCGATTCTTGTAAGTGGGTGTTCTTGGGGTCAGTCGGGGCACGCGCTTCATTTGACCAGGGAATCAAGCTCATTCCGAGCCGTGCTGAGTGCACGGTTTAGTGTTTAGGGTTTAGGGTTTAGGGTTTAGGGTTTAGGGTTTAGGGTTTAGGGTCTAGGGTCTAGGGTCTAGGGTCTAGGGTCTAGGGTCTAGGGTCTAGGGTCTAGGGTCTAGGGTCTAGGCTTCTACAAGGAACTCCACGCAGAAGCCGGGGCTTCGGCTGCTACTGTCTTTCCTTCTGCTGCGCGATCGCTTCCTACTCCTCCAGCCAGGGATGCCGCAAGCCGAACTCCAAAACTCCTCAAAGAGCCCAATACCCTTTAACTAAGGGATATTCCTTAAACCACAATAAGGATCCCTTTTACAATTGAAGCTATATTCCTTAATTAAGGGGTATTGGGCTCTCTGGGTCCTCAACCCTTGGGATTCGGGTGGCAGAACATGGGAGTTGCGTGAGTTCGGGCCCTGCTCTGAGTCCTTCTCGCTCGGCTGCGACCTTAGGCATCAGGCTTCCAAGGGCTTCCTATTCGCCTCAGGAGGCTCTTGCAGTGACGTCAGTCGGTTTGGGGGGCTGTTCGCTCTCCCCCTCAACCTATGCAATTAAAGGATGAAGCACTGGAAACAATCAAGACGTGCCTTCCTGCGTCTCATTACTTGCCACCTTCATATCGGGGACAATAAGGACCCCAGGGTCAACGCAGAACCTTTCCTCAACCGCTGGGCAATCCAAAGCCCCCATTGCTGCTTCACATTGCTACCATCGGCTTCCCCATGCCGACTGCCCTGAATGCTGTCACTCACCAGCAATACAAATAGAAGTACCGCCATGCACTGCTCACTCCCCCCCCCCACCACTGCTGCTGCTACTAAGTACGTGTCTACCACTGATGCTGCTACTGTCAACGTGAATGCAAGCTTTGGGAAATTGGGGCATTTGGTCCTGCCCTCTCGTGTGGTAGCAGCCAGATTGCCTGTTGACAGAGT